ATTTTATTTGCAAATTAACCACCTTGCTCATCTCTTTTTTGAGGGTCAGTTTCCACCCAATTCATGTACAATGTACAGTGAAATACAGTTAATGGCCCGGGAGTTAAAGGTTAAACTGTTATTTACAGGAAAATAAAATAAATAAATAGTCAATGCATTCAATGATTCTTTTAATTAAAAACCCATTGGAAACAAGTTTTTCTAAATGTTTTTTAAGTGTAAAATTCAAGACTAAAAATATATAATGCATTTGTGTTTAGCGAAGGACTCTATGGAGGAAAACATCCGAAACGAGTTCATCAAACTTTGAAAGAGTGACAGAAAAACATAAGGTTTTTGAAGCGCGAAATAAATACATATTTTGTAATAACCGACAGATTTTTTCGCCTAAATGACAGCTAATTGTTTGAAATAGTTTTTACGCTATTTATTATAAAACGCTTTTATGTGCAAACATTTGCCTTTGAATTTTAGACACATTTTTAACGCCAAATGTAAAGTTTATACAAGTTTTTTGATGAACTTATTTAGAGTCAGAACTAATTTAAAGCTATTTTACGGCATTTATTACAATTGATGGCAATTAATAATGGGATTCAATGTCTGGGATAGTTGTCAGGGATATAACAGATGCTATGATTACTGTAATGAAACTATTTTGCAAATACTATACAAATATATCATCATTAATAAGCATTTAAAATAACATTACACTTGATTTAACGGTTAGATAGAAAAAACCATTTAATTAATGGCAAAATTATTTGATTAAATAGTTTCACATTTATGTGAAAAGATTGTAAAACTATTAATAATATCTTAAATATAAATAATATGTTTGAAAAGATATAGTAATTGATATCAAATGTATTAAAGTATTGAATGAAATGACAACTCGTTTGAGACTAAAGACTAGTTTTGTTGCAAATCTATGCGAAACTACAACTCATTAACAGAGACTTCAATTCACAGATAAATTACATTCATTTGTGAACAATATTTAACGGTTTATGACTTTTCTCATCAATTATTGCAGTATTTTTCTTAACATTGAAATTATAAAAACACTAAAAATACAGTCAAAAACATTCAAACATACAATACATTGAATGGCATTGAAATGAAATGATTGAATAAAATTAGAAATAAATTTATTATTAATGGTTTACAATACAAACAATTAATGAATTGTTAATAAATACCACGATATCGTTGCCATCAATATATGGGTTGAGTTTAATGAATGAAATCAATGCAATCAATACAATGGGTATTAATAATAGGTATTTAACTCGTCTCCAGAGATAACTCCTCATTATTACCGCAATTAATGTCTAAATCATTGCAATCTTATCGTCGGACCAATTGTTGTGATCACAAGATATCATCGGAGAAACCATTCAATCATTTCAAACACATTTAATACACACTTTAATAATGGTTTCAATAATACTGTTTTCTAATGACTTATATGTAAACACAATACAAATATTTGTTGTCAATAAATAGGACTTTCAGTGAATTAATAAGTGTTTAATAAATGTAAACAACAATTGATTTAACCGTCGAGTGGTTTGAGACGAAAACATAATGAAAATGAGAAATGGTTTACAATTTTATTACACAAATGAATGGATGTTTGCATTGAATGTCAGCTGATATTGAGATGTGATGTGAGATAACAGTTATGTATTGTATATTAAACCAGACTATTGTATCGATCACTCTATGAGACAATTCAATAGCCTTTCACTGCAAACACATGTGAAGTAATGCCTCCAAAACTGGTCTCTCATTCACGCATACAATGAATGCAAACCAGACTTCACTTCACAATAACTGTACGTTTGGAACACAGAAGGAGAGGAGGAGTCACTCATCCCATAATATCCCATACGAAACCATATCACACCTTAACCCTTCGCGCGTTGGGTGAAAATGTAAACGTTACGTGTAGACAGGCCTATAAATAGGCCAGCGTTTGACATGTTGGGTGGCCTAATAATAGGCCAGCGAGGAGCGTGTAGGGTGGCCTAGAAATAGGCCAAAGCACTGTTTACTAATAGCTAGCATCACGTCAATACGAGTGCGCAGTAGGCAATACCTCTACACTACTCAAATCATATATTTTATTTACTGCTATAGCGTGTAGGGTGGCCTAATATAAGGCCAGCGAGTAACGTGTAATGTGGCCTNCATCACGTCAATACGAGTGCGCAGTAGGCAATACCTCTACACTACTCAAATCATATATTTTATTTACTGCTATAGCGTGTAGGGTGGCCTAATATAAGGCCAGCGAGTAACGTGTAATGTGGCCTAAAAATAGGCCAAAGCACTAATATATACTAAGATATAAAAAGTTGCGTTTCGTGTAATGTGGCCTATTAATAGACTAAAATTCAATTTAATAATAGTTACAATTAATTAATATTTATAAAATTTTGTATTTATTTAAGTTTCAATATTGTTGAGGCATTCCTGAAGTTTTTTAATCATAGGCTTCTTGGTTGATTTTTAACTGATTTTTAAAGTTGGATTGGCCTAAAAATAGGCCACCCAACGCGCGAAGGGTTAACCAACACTATAATCACATCCCATGTCTTCGGCTGAAGACACAATTCATATCAATTATATTTCATTTTTAAATTGCAATTAATTATTAAACAATTAATACAACTTTTTTAGTTTTTGATTAATTCTTTATTCAAATTCTTTGATCATTTCTATAATAATAACTATATTTACAATAAAAATGACTTAAAGTTAGTGTTATGTTAACTATATTACAAATTTATTATAATATTAATACATTTCGTTTTTATGATTTATTAAATATTATGTTTAATTATTCTGTATTTCAATCAACATTATTAGAGACAATGGTTTGTATTATCGTTAAAAAGTGACTAATTATATGCAAAAATGTGATAAAAATGAGTTTTAAATAAAATTTGAGTCTTTGTTAAGTTATTTCGACACTCAATGACTTTTCCATTTCTGATTCTGACTCTTCTTCGATGCTATTTGTTGTGAGCAGTGATCGTGTCGTTGGAGTCGACATCATATCGACACTGTTGGTCATCCGGAGTCTCACGTGGTCTATGGTGTCCAACAGGTTCTTCGAGTTAATCACAAGAATATGTGCCGATTCTAACATCGCTTTCCTATATTCACCTGTTTTTCAAAACACATCATTAGTTTTCTATAGACATTGAAATAAACTGAAAACAAGGGCTCACTTTCAACAGTTGTTCTGCTGTATTGTTGCGCTAATTTCATGGCCTGTACTAAACCGGCCATATCTTTACTCAATACTTTATGAGTCAATTCAATCTCTCGGTGCGACCAAAGGGGCAGCGCTGGGAACAGAGCGTCAACACTAGCTAACAATCCCCTCAACTCAATGCCAACCGCCTATAAAAACAAATAATTAGTTTTGAGGACAACAAAAAAAGTTGTTTTTCAACCAAAAAAATAGGTATTTAAATGATTGAAAGTCAGAGAGAAAGGTTGATTACCTTAACTAATTCGAGATACTGTTCAACGCGAGCCTCCTGTACGCCCTGTAATAGATATCTGACAGCATTGACTACATTCATGGTGTAGTGATAGACGCCATCATCGGATCGGTCGAGATCTGCGGTCGGCGTCGGCTCTAAGGGTGTCGATGGGTTGGAAATACTGCTTAATGTACTTAAAGTACTAGAATTGTTGGTCCCGTTTGACACCACTTTGGAATGATTTGATGGCACACCTGTCCAGACATAACCGATAATGAGATCGAGATATAAAACAATTGTTGTGTGAAATGAAAATTATAGACAAAACGAGTTTTTACTGTATTCGACGACTGGATTAATGGGCGAACATCTCTGCTGTTGTTCACTATTATTGTGCTGCGAATCACATAAAGATAATCGTTTGACTGAAGCCAGTAATTGTTTCTCTTCGTGAGCCAACCATTTAGAGTCTTCTTCTGATTCCTGTTTCTGTTGTTTTAGTCTTATTTCAAGCGATTGTTTATCAAACTCTGCTCTTTCGGCCAATTCCTGATTCGAGACAAAAATTGCAATTAAACGACAAAACAAAGCAAATAAAATACAAATAACCATAATTTCAAATAAAAATTTTCCAAAATCCATAAAATAAATAAAATCCACAGAAAACTCAGGAAAAATGAAACAAAAGATAAGAAAATAAGAAAAATGGAAACCGAAAACAAATTGCATGCAAACACAAGAGTAACCGAAAACCAGTTGTCACCTGCGCTTCTGTGGCAGAAGTTGTGGTAGAACTGGAAGAAGTGGTATTGGATGCCGAACAGAGACTCTCTTTACGGACTGTTTTGGTTGGAATGCTCTGCACCTGAAATGTATGGAAATTATGGCATCGGATCCAAAGCACAGCCCATTCATCGAAATACAATTCACAGAATTTGCATAGATTTTAATTTTTCGTTAAATTTTAATCAAAATTTCTCAGGAAATCAAAAGCCATTCATTATTTGATAAAATTTTGTTACTCTTAAGATTTAATCACTTAATCATTAAATTCGTAGATTATTTTAAATCACTTTTTAAAAATCAAATTCTGTATTAATTAAAGCCCACTAACGAAGCGCTGGAAACCCACGCAAAATCTTTATCGATTAGTTAAGATTCAAATATACTATCAATTCCTATACGAGTTCATTGACAATGATTTTGGTTTTCATTCATCGAAAACTGCATATAAAAGCACTTTTTATTAACTGAATCAACAAAATCCTATGATTGAGAATAAGTTATATAAATAAATGCAAAACTAATATTTGAATTAAATTATTTTTAGTGATTATTCTAAACATTGCTTTAAAAATAGACTTGTAGTCAAACATTGAATATTTGTGATAATTTCACACTAATTTACTATTTGTTTACATAAATTAAAAGTTTTATAAATTACAAAATTAGGTTCACTTTCAATGCGTTTAATAAATAAATTGAAAATGAGACACACTTTTCCGCAGAAAATGGGTAACCATTCATAATCTTTAGCCTATAATGCAGTAAATTTCACACAATTTGTTCCAACACACGGAATGTTTGCTTCGTTTTGTATAAGAAGTTTTATATTTCATATCTTATAAAATATTTTCATTAAAAAAAATAGACACTCGTATAGAAACAAGTGCTACAAAAAGCAAAGAATTATAAATGTATTTATAAAATCAAATCTTTAGCTTAAATTCAAGGCAATAGGAAAACAAAGTCAATCAAAGAAGTAGTCGTCAAAGTCGTGGACAAAAAGTTGAGAAGAGATTTAAATTGGAGTCGGAATTAATCCAAGAATACTATTAAAACAAACGATTCATAATATATTGAACAACGGTTTCGTATTTTAGATTATAAAGGATTTCTTGAAAAGACAAACAATGTTTTGCATTGAATCGTAAAAATAGCCAAAATTGTTAGTAAAAAAGCGATAATTACGGCAAATGTGTTTGAAGGAGAGGCCGGTGCGTTATAAGCCCAGGCGGGGGGCAGGAGGTGAGCGTTTTCTGACATCAATTGCGCCAAAACCTAATACGAGTCGTTTAAATAGCATTACATTCAATGTCGGGAAAGTTAAGTAAATACAAAAGTGATTTATTTTGTCGTAAACTTAATTTTTAAGCGTTTGAATGAAAGGATTATATTATTAACTGTTTGTGACTTCAGACAGTTTGGCAATGAAATGATATTACTATCAATAGTAACAATAATTGTCAGGAGTTGTCGTTGCGATTAATAAACTTAAACACAATTATTTAAATTGTTATAAATAAAGCTTAAGTAATACTCAAAGAATGTTAAACCAAATTAGAAGTGAAATTAAAACCGAAAATTAAAAACAAATAAAAATTAATTTTAAAAAAAAATTACAAAATATTGGCAACTTTTCATGAAAATGATACAAAAAACAAACCAAAATCTAACTCTTGTATAAAATACAGAATTACTTTCAAAATACTTTTAAGTTTTTAAAAGCATAAATAAATATAATTTTAATAATAAAAATATGAAATAAAACTTACACTGTAATTATTTTGCATTATTTTGCATTACTAACATTTACTCATCAAATTTTTGGGTAAATACATTCAACCAAAATGAGTAAAACTTGCAAATGTGTAAAACTATTTAACCACTTGTGAGAGAGAGAGAGAGAGAGATAAAGAGAGAGAGAGAGAGAGAGAGTTTAATGAATTGAAAACAATTATAAAGGCATTAAATTTAATAATTTATTAATCAATGAGTTTGTGATTTAGTGAACAATACATGCGTTGATTAGAAAATGATTTAAAAAATCGAGATATCAATCAAACATAGCGTGGGTTTTCAATAATCTATATAACGGGTAATCGGAAACGGAAACACAATCGAGCTATTAATTGCTAGTATTAAATAATATATATAAATAATTTATTTATAACAAATTAACACTACGTTTAGTTTTATAATGATAAACTATAATTAATTTATCATAATTATTATTATATTGTCTATTATATTATATTATCTATTGTAATTATTATATTATTTAATTATTATCTTAAACAATCAATAAAAGCGTGTAAAGTTTGTTACAAACTTTATATTGTTTTGTATTAGCTTACGAGTTAGAAATTAGTTACCTTGATTAACATTCATATATTATATTATGTTAATTTCGTGTTAAGCATCTTTGTCAGTTACTTAAATATATTATTTTAGAAGTGTATTCATGTTTATAGAAATTATTTTTAGCAATAAAATTATTAGTAACGAAATTATCTGAGAGAGAGAGATAGAGACATTGTTAGAAATTGTATAATTTTTATAACAAAAATACTGAAAATTTGAGTGTTTTAATTGAATAAATCGCGTCCCATTTCTAGACCACTTGGTCAATTTTAATGGAATAAAATGACCTATTTTAATCTCTCCTAGAATAATTTATTTTATTTTTTAACATTATTATTTTAACAGTTTATTTTTAAAATAAACTTAATTTTAGTAAAATCAACTAATGTGTTTAGAAATGGGAAGCTATTTACTAAGTACCACAATCAATAAACACTCTGAACTTACTTCATAACAACGAAAATAATTGATGGTAAATAATTTCCAACACGAAAATCCAACGCTTTTCACAGCCATTCTTTCTATCATATTATTTATATATAAAAATTTTGTAATGTATTAAAAAAAGTTGTATATATTATTATATAATAGTACAAATATTGATATTACATAATTATATTATATTATACAATATTATTAATTTACCTTAATTTTAGCACAAACACAATTGTATTGATAGATCCCTTTACAGGCCATAAACCCATTGACCAATTTATAAGATTTATTTGCTTCGCTATTAACCTCCGACGCCGTAAATATGACAAACAAAAACAACAGAGAGTCCAATACCATGATGTAATTGTATAGTATTTTGACCATGATTGGCATCGACATGAATATAGAATTATATATTATTAAAATAGTGGCCGAACCAAATGCGCCCCCAAAAACATAACAATGTTTTTGACCAATAGGTAGCGTTGTATTCACTAATCTCGGTGTAAATTGCATTAATTTTTACCATGATCGATTGCATTATTTGAATGTTACCACGATGATTTTTCATCTCAAATAGAGTATTGTTTATTGCCTGCAATTGTAACCTAAAGTATAAACAAATTATGTAGAAATAACTTAATGAGTACAACAAGTAGTTCCAGAAATAGTGGCACCAAAGGGTAAATAGTATGGCGTTAGGGATGCCAAACAACATGGTATTTATAATCGATGTGGATATATAATATGGAATAATCATGACGCACATCGACCCAAACGGTATAACATACCGGTTATTAAATGACGACAATTTTGTTAATAATCTTGTTTGATGTATTATTTTTTCTACCTGATAACTCTCCAGTAGACCCACTTCTCTGGGGGTAACCAAACCGGACATCATGTCAAACACAGCGAGAAAAGTGGGTTTAATACCATTCGCGTAGTTATAATAGTAAATGTATTGCATATTCATAGCCGAGAGGGCGAATAAAATTAAATACAAGTTGTTTAGATTACCTATGTTCATAAAGTAGCCAAAATCACCTAGTATAATTTTGGTATTTTCATTAGTGGTAATCAGACATATTATTCTTTGGATATAGAATATGGTAAATGTAATAAACGCCAGAATTGGTTTATCAATACGTTTTCTGTGACCGCAATTATAATGTGTTTCAAACAAATCCAAACCAATTCTATACAAATGAATTGACGCCCATTTGTAGCCAACACTCGCCGGCAATAATTTATCCGGATTAAAATTAATTTGCATTTTATTGTCATCCATCATTTGCAATTTTCAAATATTTATATTTTGGTTAATAATAATTGTTTAATTAATAATTTATTTAATGCAAAGATATAAAACAAACAGATTATCCAAAATCTTAATTATTTACTTAATTAATTAAGAATAAATATTACTGGTTTGAATCAAATATATAAAATAATTCTACACTCATACAATTCAAACATTTAAACAAAAAATATTTGCATAAAATGTCTTAATTTATCATATTTGAATATTCTAATTGCATAAAAATTATTTTATTTAATACAAAGTAGTACAACATCAGTTTTATATTTAAATAATGTATAATTATAACATTAATTGATAATTATTAGTAAATTCAATTGTTATGTTAATTAAATATAAATTATATTATGTATTGAATAATAACAATTTTTAATCTAAACTTAACTAAGATAATTAAACTAAGTATGCACTATTGTTAATAAATATCATTATAGCTTTAAATACAACTGTAATTATATTGTTAATTAATTGTGTGTTCAACAAATAGAAATAGAGTATATACTAACTTTTATAATTTAAAATAAATATAAAATAATATAAGATCAAATACACCTGTATCATTAATAAATTATTATGGAGAGAGAGAGAGAGAAAGAGAGAGAGAGAGAGAGAGAGAGAACGCAATTAGAATTATAACAATTACCACTATGTACTCTAAGATATGAAAAACTTACTTCATAATATTGAAAATAATTGATGTTAAATAATTACGAACTCACAAATCATTTTTTATGACTATTCTTATTTATATTTATATTTTCATGGTCTAGACTTTGAGATGTGCCTCACATTTCATTCCCGGGACAGAGGATGGGATTTCGATTCCCAGTAATACGACTCCTTGTCTTATCGGAGAATCCGAAGAATTTCCAGTAATTCAAAAGAACAATACAATACATGACACACCACTGACACGACACGCAACACGACATTGCTTACATCAACCGCAGAATATATATGTAATTTGTAATATAATATGCATTTGTATAAACACTAAAAAATATGTAATTTAAATATTTAAAACACGTCTTCATTGAAAATCAGCTCTTGTTGAATGTATTTCGTGTATAAATAACAATAAATTCAATTCAATTCAATTCAATATTAGTAAACTTATTTAACATAGATGAGATTAGATAAGTTATAACTTGTAAATTAGGTAATTCTAAAATGCCTATTTAATTATGTTATAAGAGTGTCCATGTTTAATGCAATTACTTTTAGCAATAATACTGTTAGTAAAGCAAGAATCTGGAAGAAAGAGAGAGAGAGAGAGAGAGAGAGAGATTAAGTTTTATATTAGAAATTTTATTATATCTAATCCGTCATAAAGTATTGGCACAGCGGAATTTTGATTATCTCTTAATCTAAACGAGCTAGATCAAATCTGTTAAAAGTAAAATAGAGTTCCATATGTCTAGTTTTTTGTGGCAAAAAATTATTAAAATCACGTGATCACAACATAGAAAATTTTGGGTCAGATCGATTTGCCATGTTTTGTGCCCACCTCGAGGGGGGCTAGGAAGGGGGCGGGTATGCTAATCTTTAGAGGAGATGTCAAAGATTATGATAACAAAGTTTGATTTAAATCCATTCAGCCATCTACGAGAAACTGTTAATTTTATTAACATTACGTCTATGGGAAAAAATTGTTCTGAAGTCCACCTTTTATAACAACAAAAAAGTATAATAGTATAAAAAAGTCAAAATTGGGCTATTTTTGTTCAAATATTATGTCAATTTTCTTGAATATTTTGTTCGCTACGAAAGAATATTCATTTGAATTTTATGAAATTTTGCCATCATAGTCTTTGACATCTCCTGTAAAGATTAGCATACCCGCCCCCTTCCTAGCCCCCCTCGGGGTGGGCACAAAACATGCCAAATCGATTTGACCCAAAATTTTCTATGTTGTGATCACGTGATTTTAATAATTTTTTGCCACAAAAAAACTAGACATATGGAACTCTATTTTACTTTTTACAGATTTGATCTAGCTCGTTTAGATTAAGAGATAATCGAAATTCCGCTGGGCCAATACTTTATGACGGATTAAATAGCAACACTTACTTCATAACAACGAAAATAATTAATTGTAAATAATTTCCAACACGAAAATCCAACGCTTCTCTTAGCCATTCTTTCTATCATATTATTTATCTATAAAAATGTTGTA